TTCGCCATCCAGCCAGCCACTGGATAGCGAAGCGTCCACAACAAAGACACCCAGACGCCGCACATGTGTCTTAATTTCATCAGTAGTAGAAGAGGTAGTAGTGGGGAATAAGGAGGACGAGCCAGTCAAATACAAAGGAAGGGGAGCACTGCAAGGGAGCTAGGTGCCCACAGAGGGAGAGCAAGCTCACAGAGGTGCGTGAAAGGGGAAGTGGTGAAATAAATGAAGAAGGAACAGAAACACGAGGCAGAAGAGAGAAAGACAACCCAGAGGAGAAAAAAGAAAGAGGAAGAGGGAGAAGAAGAAAAAGAAAAAGAAAAAATGAGGAGTCAGGTTAAGTCACGGGTGTTCTGAAGTCTGGAGCATTTTACAATGTAGTGGGAAAGGAAGGCATTTACAGAGACGAAGCCAGGGCTAAGATTCATACAAGGAAAGTTGTGTATTAGAGAGGATTCAACTAGACGGCGACTGTTCGAGTTGGAAGTAGGGAAGACAGTTTTAGCAGAAGACCAGTCAATAGGATGGCTATGATCTCTGACGTGACAGAAAAGAGCATTGTTAGTGTCGGCAAGCCTAACACTATTTTTGTGCTCCCTAAGTCTGTCAGAAAGAGATCGACCAGTTTCTCCGAAGTATTGAAGAGGACAGGAGGAGCAAGAAATAGAGTAGACACCAGGAACATCTGTAGAGGGAGGAGAGGTATGAACGAGATTAGTGTGAAGAGTGTTAGTCTGGCGGAAGGTAAGCTTGATGTTTAAGGGACGGAGAGAATTGTTGAGATTAGAAAGACCGGAAATGTAGGGAAGGCAGAGGATAAAAGAGTTCCCAGGAGTAGAGAGTTTGGGAGAGAAGAAATTACATTTAATTTCTTCTCTCCCAAACTCTCTACTCCTGGGAACTCTTCTATCCTCTGCCTTCCCTACATTTCCGGTCTTTCTAATCCCCTTTCACGCACCTCTGTGCGCTTGCTCTCCCTCTGTGGGCACCTAGCTCCCTTGCAGTGCTCCCCTTCCTTTGTATTTGGCTCGTCCTCCTTATTCCCCACTACTACTACTACCACTGATGAAATTAAGACACATGTGTGGCGTCTGGGTGTCTTTGTTGTGGACGTTTCGCCATCCAGTGGCTGGCTGGATGGCGAAATGTCTACGTTGGGGGTGCCCGGGTGTTGCACATGTGTCTTAACTTCATCTTGTCAGTATTATATACCATTCTTGTACTACTACTACTACTACCACCACCTCTTCCTGCCTATATATAGCCGTCCTGCTCCACTTCTGGTTAGTGTGACTTTGTAAATGATCCAAGTCGGACCGAAACGTCGTCGTTAGCTTCTCTCTTTTATGTGCAGGTTATTTGTGTATCGTTCCAGTCACGGTATTGTGCCTTTTTTTGTTATTTATTGGGTTATCCTTGGATAAAGCCACATAGCATACTTTACTCGGTTATCCTAGAATAAAGTCACAGAGCATACTTTACTGGGTTATCCTTGGATAAAGCCACATAATGTTATGTGCACTTAACATCAGCATGGCATCAAGACTTGTGTTAACAGTGTTAACTAACTTTAAACTGACTGACTGACTTCACAGTTGGTCAGTCTTAGAGAAAACTTAGGCTATATTTCTTTCTATTGGTTGTACAGTGGTCCCCTAGTATCCACAGGGGATAGCTTCCAAAGACTATACAGTGCTTCCCCAATATCCCTGGGGGATACCTTCCAAGACAATACAGTGGTCTCCCAGTATCCACGGAGGATACCTTCCAAGACCTAACTTGACTCATGAAATCGTAATGACACAATTGCAAACAAACCATACCACAGGCGGGATTTGAACCCGCGGTCAGAGTGTCTCAAAACTCCAGACCGTTGTGTTAGCCACTGGACCAGCTAGCCACAATAAGATTCGTCCAACTAGGTATATTTCTACACCATAGGAAGGTTAGCATAGGCACCACTGTGACCACAAATGCAAGTTTTTACAGACGAATCTCCAGCTAGCGTGGCCATGACGAACTCTAGCTCAAGTCCCCTCAAAGCCGTTAACATGACTCACGAAATCCAGTGGCTAACGCGACGGTCTGGAGTTTTAAGACTCTCTGACCGTGGGTTCAAATCCCGCCCGTGGTATGGTTTGTTTGCAATCGTGTCATTACAATTTCGTGAGTCATGTTAATGGCTTTGAGGGGACTTGAGCTAGAGTTCGTCACGGCCACGCTAGCTGGAGATTCGTCTGTAAAAACTTGCATTTGTGGCCACAGTGGTGCCTATGCTAACCTTCCTATGGTGTAGAAATATACCTAGTTGGACAAATCTTATTGTGGCTAGCTGGTCCAGTGGCTAACGCGACGGTCTGGAGTTTTGAGACTCTCTGACCGCGGGTTCAAATCCTGCCCGTGGTATGGTTTGTTTCCAAGACCTACCATGGATACCTGAAACTCTCGATAGTAGTCAACCCTCTATATACGACATTTTTCCTTCACATACATACCTATGACAAAGTTTAATTAATAAATTATGCACAATAAGTCTAAAATTATCACCTTTGTCAGTGATGGGAAGCATTTAATGGCTTCTCTTAGGCTTTTAACAACTACCATCATCACTAATTTGTGCACTATGGGGTAATTATTAAGCAAAATTATGGGTTATTTTTGGGCCACGGTAAACCCTGGATAACTGAAGCAGCGTACGTATACCAAATCTGTCCATTTGGTTGTTCTACTGTGTATAGTCCAGCGCCTTTATGAATCAGCTGGAATATTATTATTATAATCAAAACAAAGTGCTAAACCCACAGAACCAGGTGGAAAAAACTTCAATATTTCATTTTACGTGATATCTGAGTGTGTCACCAGATGAACTTACAGCTTTCCAAGCTGACAAGCTGATGATACAGCTCCTGACTGACTTCAAGCTTAATATACTTGTGTGTTAGTAAGTTTATTCAGGTATACACAAATGCAGTTACATAATCATTATAACCTTTATATTATAATAATAAGGTAAAAGGACCCCAATCGAAATAAGTCACTCTGACTTTTTTGGGTTATCCCAGGTTCTCTACACATATGCTGCTATGTATGATAATTCTATGTAACTGTATTTGTGTATGCCTGAATAAACTTACTTACTTACTTAATATCATACATAGCAGCATATGTGTAGAAAACCCAGGCTAACCCAAAAAAGTCAGACAGAATGACTCATTTCCATTGGGGTCCTTTATTATTCCAGGATAACGGTCTCAAGGGAAGGTCTGGATAACATGTAGTCTGTGTTGGGTCTTCATTCACCATTTTTACTGTAAAAAACTTTAATAGCAGTTTCCATGTGATGACTTGTGAATGCCTTTTCTGCTTCACTTTGTAGTGTTTCAGTCATGTGTACTGAGGTTGAGGAGGCTGAGGTTATACAACACTGGGATACCTTCCTGGATCACTGAGGTTGAGGAGGCTGGGGTTATACAACACTGGGATACTTTCCTGGATCACTGAGGTTGAGGAGGCTGGGGTTATACAACACTGGGATACCTTCCTGGATAACTGAGGTTGAAGGAGGCTGGTGTTTATACAACACTGGGATACCTTCCTGGATCACTGAGGTTGAGGATCTGGAGTTTACACACACTGGATACCTTACTGATAACTAGCATCAACTGCCATAGGGTGAGTTTTGATCTATAGGAGTATGAAACTCCAAATTCTTGATCAGGATTCTACACACACAAGCTACACTCATAACTTCTAATTCGCCATCAACTCTCAAACCAATTTCAAATTTGACAAACAATTTTGATTTAAAAGTAAACTCAAAATCTGAAGATTAAAATTTATTTGAGAAGTAAACTCAAATTAAATTTTGAACAATTTTTTTTTTTTAGAAGTTTTGAGATGTAATACAAAATTCTTTAAAAATTTTGAGATGTAATATAATTTTTTTTTTAAATTTTGAGACATAAGACAAAACCGTTTAGAAATTTTGAGACGTAAAACAAATTTCGTTAGAAATTTTGTGTGATAAAAGTCACATTGAAGACGGTTAGAGAGCAACAAGTGAGGACAAAACTGCAAGAAAACAGAAGAAAAAAACAATTTTATTTGTATGATGTCAAGTTAAAAAAATCACACAGGACAAAAAATTGCTTGTCCAGGACAACAAAACTGATAATACAAAAATCACAAAAATTATTACAAAAAAATCACAAAATATTACAAAAATCACAGAATACAAGATTACAAAAATAACAAAATATTACCAAAATTCACAAAATATTAAAAAATCACATTCATGAGGGAATTGTATTGTAGAATAAAATATCACAGTCTTAAAAATACATAAAATAGATGGTAATTAAATAATTGGTAACAAAACAATTCACAACTAACCCACAACACCATGATTAACAATTCACAACTCAAGTGGGTTAGCTGTGGAATATTGTGGGTAATGTATTGTTTCAACCATAGTATTGTGGGTAATGTATTGTTTCACCCATAGTATTGTGGGTAATGTATTGTTTCAGCTAGTGGTAATTATTGTTCAGCCATAGTATTGTGGGTAATGTATTGTTTCAGCCATAGTATTGTGGGTAATGTATTGTTTCAGCCATAGTATTGTGGGTAATGTATTGTTTCAGCCATAGTATTGTGGGTAATGTATTGTTTCAGCCATAGTATTGTGGGTAATGTATTGTTTCAAACCATAGTATTGTGGAATGTATTGTTTCAAGCCATAGTATTGTGGGTAATGTATTGTTTCAGCATAGTATGTGGTAATGTATTGTTTCAGCCATAGTATATGGGTAATTGTATTGTTTCAGCCATAGTATTGTGGGTAATGTATTAATTTCAGCCATAGTATGTGGTAATGATTGTTTCAGCCATAGTATTGTGGGTAATGTATTTCTCCAGCCACATATTTGGTAATGTATTTCCAAGCCACAGTATTGTGGGTAATGTATTTCTCCAGCCACAGTATTGTGGGTAATGTATTTCTCCAGCCACAGTATTGTGGGTAATGTATTTCTCCAGCCACAGTATTGTGGGTAATGTATGGTTCCAACCAAAGTATGAATGTATTGTTCCAACTATAATACTGTGGGTAATGTATTGTTTCAACTACAGTATTGTGGGTAATGTACTTACTACCACTGTTCCAATCACAGTATTGTGGGTAATATATTGTTCCAATCACAGTATTGTGGGTAATATACTGTTCCAGCCACAGTATTGTGGGGAATGTATTGTTCCAGCCAGAGTATTGTAAGTAATGTGTTGTTCCAGCCACAGTAGTGTGGGTAATGCATTGTTCCAGCCAAAGTATTGTGGGTAATGTATTGTTCCAGCCACAGTATTGTAAGTAATGTGTTGTTCCAGCCACAATAGCGTGGGTAATGCATTGTTCCAGCCAAAGTAATGTGGGTAATGTATTGTTCCAGCCACAGTATTGTAAGTAATGTGTTGCTCCAGCCACTGTAGTGTAGGTAATGTATTGTTCCAGCCACAGTATTGTGGGTAATGTGTTGTTCCAGCCAGAGTAGTGTGGGCAATGTATTGTTCCGGCCACAGTAGTGTGGGTAATGTACTCCCTACTTTTGTTCCAGCCACATTATTGTGGGTAATGTATTGTTCCAGCCACAGTATTGTGGATAATGTATTGCTCCAGCCATAGTATTATGAGTAATGCATTGTTCCAGCCACAGTATTGTGGGTATTGTTCCAGCCATAGTATTATGGGTAATGTATTGTCCCCACCACAGTATTGTGGGTGATGTATTGTTCCAGCCACAGTATTGTGGGCAATGTACTTACTACTCTTGTTCCAATCACAGTATTGTGGGTAATGTATTGTTCCAGCCACAGTATTATGGGTAATGTATTGTACCAGCCACAGTATTGCAGGTAATGTATTGTTCCAGCTACAGTATTGTGGGTAATGTATTGTTCCAGCCACAGTATTGTGGGTAATGTATTGTTCCAGCCACAGTATTGCGGGTAATGTATTGTTCCAGCCACAGTATTGCAGGTAATGTATTGTTCCAGCCACAGTATTGTGGGTAATGTATTGTTCCAGCCACAGTATTGCAGGTAATGTATTGTTCTAGCCACAGTATTGTGGGTAATGTATTGTTCCAGCCACAGTAGTGTGGGTAATGTATTGTTCCAGCCAAAGTATTGTGGGTAATGTATTGTTCCAGCCACAGTATTGTAGGTAATGTATTGTCCCTGCCACAGTATTGTGGGTAATGTATTGACTACTATTGTTCCAATCACAGTATTGTGGGTAATGTAGTGCTCCAGCCACAGAATTGTGGGTAATATATTGTTCCAACTACAGTATTGTAATATATTGTTCCATTCATAGTATTGTGGGTAATGTACTTACTATTGTTCCAATCACAGTATTGTGAATAATATAATGTTCCAACCAGAGTATTGTGGGTAATGTATTGTTCCAGCCACAGTATTGTGGGTAATATATTGTTCCAGCCACAATATTGTGGGTAATATATTGCTCCAGCCACAGTATTGTGGGAAATAAATTGTTCCATCTACCGTACTGTAATATATTGTTCCAGTCTCAGTATTGTGGGTAATGTTCCAGCCACAGTATTGTGGGTAATATATTGTTTCAGCCACAGTATTATGGGTAATATATTGTTCCAACTACAGTACTGTAATATATTGTTCCAACTACAGTATTGTGGGTAATATATTGTTCCAGCCACAGTATTGTGGATAATATATTGTTCCAGCCACAGTATTGTGGGTAATACTTTGTTCCAGCCACAGCATTGTGGGTAATGTACTTCTTACTACTGTTCCAGCCACATTATTGTGGGTAATATATTGTTCAAACAACAATATTGTAACTAATGTACTTTCTAATATTATTCCAGCCACAGTACAATGCACAAGTATTCAACACACACATGTTCATCAGTGTTCACCATTGTCACCTGATAATTCCTCTTGCATTATTTTCTTTCTTGTCTCCCCAAAGAACAGGGTGTTTCAAACTGATGGGGCCAATTTCAAAGCAATACGCACTAAATTGGGTCATCGTTTTGAAACACCCTGTGCAGGATGGGAATTATTTATATGGGTCATCTACACAGTGTAATATTTATTCTTTTAATGTGATTGAAGGAGTTGATTCAGAATTGACTAGCAATTGACTCTGATGGAGCTTTACCTTTACTGTTTAATTATGGGTCAACTTCTTCAATTATATTGAGAATAAATTATACAATAAGAAAGAGAGGAGTGTGTATGGAGGAGCTTTATAAGAGAGTTGATTACATAGAGAAAAGCTTAATAAGGGAGCTGACTATATACAGTCATGGGCACACTGACTCTCCAGCAACAATTTATTGGCATACATTCCCCATAAATTCTTGCAATAACAGATACAAGTTTGTCAATACAAACTGTTTATTGAAGTCTACAGAGTCTTGTAGAGTATTTGTAGTGAGTCTAACTCACACACTCACACACAGGCAGTGGAATAGCCTAGAAAACGATGTAGTGGAGGTGGGAACCATACATAGTTTTAAGGCAAGGTTTGATAAAGCTCATGGGGCAGGGAGAGAGAGGACCTAGTAGCAATCAGTGAAGAGGTGGGCCAGGAGCTATGACTCAACCCCTGCAACCCCAAATAGGTGAGTACAAATAAGTGAGTACACAGCCACACACACCCACACACACACACACACCTACACCCACACAACACCAAGCATGTCTCCAGAGGCACACATCAATCAGATAACTGCTGCAGCGTATGGGCGCCTGGCAAACCTGAGAATAGCGTTCCAATACCTCAGTAAGGAATCGTTCAAGACACTATACACTGTGTATGTCAGGCCCATACTGGAGTATGCAGCACCAGTTTGGAACCCACACCTGGTCAAGCACATCAAGAAATTAGAGAAAGTACAAAGGTACACAACAAGGCTAGTTCCGGAGCTCAGGGGAATGTCCTATAAAGAAAGGTTGAGGGAAATCGGACTGACGACACTGGAGGAAAGGAGGGTCAGGGTAGACATGATAATGACATACAAAATACTGCGTGGAATAGATAAGGTGGACAGAGACAGGATGTTCCAGAGATGGGACACAGAAACAAGGGGTCACAATTGGAAACTGAAGACTCAGATGAGTCACAGGGATGTTAGGAAATATTTCTTCAGTCATTGAGTTGTCAGGAAGTGGAATAGCCTGGTAAGTGATGTAGTGGAGGCAGGAACCATACACAGCTTTAAGACAAGGTATAACAAAGCTCAGGAAGCAGAGAGAGAGAGAGAGGACCCAGTAGCGGTCAGTGAAGAGGCAGGGCCAGAAGCTGAGTCTCAACCCCTGCAACCACAATTAGGTGAGTACAATTAGGAGAGTACACCCCCCCACACACACACCCACACCCACACCCACACACACACACGCAAGAGAAACCATGGCTAAAGGAATCGTCTGCATACAGGAGAGTGTTTCTAGACCGAGACAGAACAAAACAAACAAATTTTTTTTTTTTTTGCAAGATTACATTGAAATTATGAAATTACAGTAATGAGTTGCAGTGCCAAGAGCCACTGTCATGCCCAGGCATTATGAGCAGACTTATTTAATGGATTACAGACTACTTAATACTAAAGAAAGTGATCATAGTTTGTTTAAGTTGTACATCTTTTTTTTATTTATAGTTGACAGTAATTTTACTCTAATTACAATAGTTTCAATAATAAACATTGAAATTATATTATGGGAATATAATATTGTGAGTTGTTGAAAGTAGTTTACAGTATGAGAATGTTACAATGGGTGTAAGACAGTATTGTTCTGGGTTCATACATTAATAATATATGAACCTTGGGTGTCTAGTTTTGAAGTTTTAATATTTTGGTAATTGGGAGATTTTTGGTAAAGTTAAATATTGAGTATTGAGTATTTAGTTTAGGGTGAGTAGGTGACTTTTGAGAAGAGCCTTAAATTGGTGTTCAGACCGGGTTACTTTGGTTATTTATTGGTAACGAATTTCAAATTTTGGGGCCCTTTATGTGTACAGAGTTTTTACACAGTGAGATATGGACACAGGTACATCAAAAAGAGATCTGTGTTTTGTGTTGTGGTTGTGTATCCTGTTAAGGTTGGTGAGAAGTTTGAGTGGAGGGTTTATGTTTAAGTGTAGTGCTCTATGTATGTAGTAGGCACATGAATCAGTATGGATGTTCTTAACTGTGAGCAGTTTTAGCCTTTTGAATACTGTTGGAGTATGCTGTCGGGAGTGGGAATTTGTTATTATTCTGACTGCATCCTTTAGCTGGGTTATTAGTGGTCTTAGGTGATTTAATGTTGTTGATCTCCATGCACAAATTCCATATGTGAGATAAGGGTAGATGAGTGAATGATACAGAGCAAGGAGAGTTGATTGTGAACCATAGTACTGTACCATATCTTTGATAGTATGACCACTGTCTTAGAAATTTTCTTAGAAATTTGTTGTATGTGTGTGTGCGCTGTATAGTCCTTGTGGCTTAGCGCTTCTTTTTGATTATAATAATAATGTATGTGTGTGTGGAATTTAAGGCTACTGGCAAGGTGGATTCCTAGGAATTTTCCCTCTGTGAGTCTTGTGATGGGTGATCCATTTAGTGTTATGTTAATAGGTTTTGTCAGTATTGAGGGTAAACTTATTTGTCATCCTCCAGGTAGTTATTTTCTGCAATTCAGCATTAACAGTGTTAGCCAGTATGACTGGGTTTGGGTGAGAGAAAATGTATGTTGTGTCATCTGCAAATAATATGGGTTTGAGTAGCTGTGATGCATTCGGTAGGTCATTGATGTAAATGAGGAACAGGAGTGGGACAAGGACACTTCCTTGTGGGACACCGACTGTCATTGGTTGAGTGGAAGAGTTTGCTCCATTTGCATACACATATTGGCTTCTGTTACTAAGGTATGACTTTAGGTAGTTGAGAGAGTGCCCTCTTATACCATAGTGTGTTAATTTAATGTGCAGCAAAGCATGGTCAACTGTATCAAAATGCTTACATAAATCAATGGAGATTCCCAGCAGGACTTCTTTCTTCTCAAGAGTGGTGTATATTAGTTCTAACATGTGTATAATAGCATTATTTGTGCTTTTATTAGTCCTGAATCGAAACTGACAGGGGTTTAGAGTGTTGTGTGAGACAAGGTAGGAATAGATCTGTCCATGAATTAATTTTTCAAAGATCTTAGAGAGCAGAGGTAGGTTAGATATTGGTCTATAGTTACTCAAGTCGGTTTGATCACCTCCTTTGTGGACTGGGTTGACCCTCGCTATTTTGAGAATTGCTGGGAAGGTGGAGGATTCAATGGATTTGATAAAGAGTTTTGCAATAATTGGTGACAGTACTTGTGATGCTTTTTTGTACATAAAAGGTGGTCAGTTATTTATGTCCCCTGTCTTGTTTTTAAGGGTGTTGATGATGAGCAAGACTTCTGTTGGGTTGGTTCAGGCTAGGAATAGCATATTCGGGTAGGTGCCTGTAAGGTAGTCTGATGGACAGGTGTTTGAGCTTGGGATTTTGCTCGCTAGATTCTTTCCTATGGTGGAGAAGAAAACACTGTGTCTGTGTGCTGTTTCAGTTGGTGGGAGTAGGGGTTTGTCTGACAGCAGCTGAGGAAGAGAACACAAAAGTGAAAGGGGCTAGGAAGAGAGACAAGGACACAACTGGCAGAGGACAACCAGAGCAGGGCAGAGCAATAGGAGCAAGCACACACAGAACCACCCCCAGAACCCCACAACCAAACATGCTATCCCAACACAATCCACACTTACATCCTCCACCCCCACACTATGCTGTAGAATCCTGCAGCACACTGCCAGGTCCAACACCCTCACAGACCCCCCAAAACACAGTTGGAGAGGAAGCTGAAGGTATGGTACACCAACTCTGATGGAATAACGAATAAGTGGGAGAAGTGGTGTGAAGGAGTCAAAGAGGCATCACCGGACATCAGAGCTTTCACAGAAACCAAGCTCACAAGGATGATAACAGATGCCATCTTTCCAATGGGATATCAGATCCTGAGAAAAAACAAAGGGAATAGAGGGGCTGGAAGAATGGCACTGCTCATCAAAAGCCAATGGGATTTTGATGAGCTGGAGAGAGAAGACAGAGGAGATGCAAGATATTACATAATAGGAATGCTTCAGTCTGGAGGTCCCAAGGTGGTAATTGCAGTGATGCATAACCCACCACTGAACAGCAGGAGGGCAAGGCAAGAGTATGACGAGAGTAATAGAGTAATGGTTGACACACTGGCCGAAGTGGCCAGAAGAGCTCATGCGAGCAGGGCATAGCTGCTGATCATGTGTGACTTCAACCACAAGGAAACTAATTGGGAGAACTTGGAGCCACATGGAGACCAAGAAATGTGGAGGGCTAAGATAATGGAGGTGGTACTGGAAAACTTCATGTACCAGCACATAAGGGACACTACCAGAGAGAGAGAGAGAGAGAGAGAGGATGAACCAGTGAGATTGAACCTACTATGCACCTTGAGTAGTGCAGATATTGAGGACATCACATATGAAAGACTCCTTGGGGCCAGTGATCACGTGGTTCTGAGCTTCGAATACATAGTAGAATTACAAGTGGAGAGATAAGCAGGAAGGGCTGGATGCATGAAGCCAAACTACAAGAAAGGGGACGACGCAGGCATGAAGAATTTCTTGCACAGGGTTCAGTGGGACAGAGAACTGGCAGATAAGTCAGTAAACGAGATGGAATACGTGGCAACAATATGCAAGGAAGCTGAGGAGAGGTTTGCACCCAAGGGTAACAGGAATAATGAAAAAGCCAGGATGAGCCATTGGTTCACCCAAGGTGCAGGGAGGCCAAAACCAAAGTGTGCTAGAGAATGAAAGAAGTATAGACGGGAAAGGACCCAGGAAATAAGGAGAGCAGTCGTAGAGCCAGAAATGAATATGCAAAGGTAAGAAGGGAGGCCCAAAAACAATATGAGTGACACAGCAGTGAAGGACCAGGTAATCAAGTTGAGGAAGGAAGGGAGGGGAAGTCACAAGAAATGACAGTGTAATATGTGAAGAGCTCAACATGAGATTCAAAGAAGTGTTCACAGAGGAGACAGAAGGGCCTCCAGAAACACGGAGAGGTGGGGAACACCATCAAGTGTTGTACACAATACATACAACCGAGGAAGTAGTGAAGAGGCTGCTAAGTGACCCAGATACCTCAAAGGCGATGGGGTCGGATAACATCTCTCTATGGGTCCTGAGAGAGACAGCAGAGGCACTATGTGTAATACTAACAGCAATCTTCAACACATGTATTGAAACAGGGCGACTACCTGAAGTATGGAAGAGAGCACATGTAGTCCCAATTTTTAAAAAAGGAGACACACATGAAGCATTAAACTACAAACCAGTGTCACTGACATGTATAGTATATGCAAGGTCATGGAGAGGATTATCAGGAGAAGAGTGGTGGGGCACCTAGAAAGAAATGAGCTTATTAATGACAGCCAGCACTGTTTCAGGGACTGGAAATCCTGGTTAACAAACCTACTGGAGTTCTATGACAGGGTGACGGCAGTAAGACAAGAGAGAGAGGGGTGGGTAGACTGAATTTTCGTGGACTGTAAGAAGGCAAAAGCTGCAGGACCAGGCAGGGATAACAGGTAAGGCATTACAATGGAACAGGGAATACCTGTCAGAAAGACAGCAGCGAGTCATGGTACATGGCAAGGTGTCAAAGTGGGCACCTGTAATGAGTGGGGTGCCACAGGGACCAGTCCTAGGACCAGTGCTGTTACTGGTATTTGTGAATGACATGACAGAAGGAATAGACTCTGAAGTGTCCCTGTTTGCAGATGATGTGAAGTTGATGAGAAGAATTCAATCCGACAAGGGCCAGGCAGAACTACAAAGGGATCTGGACAGGCTGCAGGCCTGGTCCAGCAACTGGCTCCTGGAGTTCAACCCCACCAAGTGCAAAGTCACAAAGACTGGGGAAGGGCAAAGAAGACCTCAGATGGAGTACAGTCAAGGGGGCCAGTGACTACAAACCTCACTCAAGGAAAAGGATCTTGGGGTGAGTATAACACTGGGCACATCTCCTGAGGCACACATCAACCAAATAACTGCTGTAGCATACAGGACCCTGTATACTATGTACGTTAGGCCCATATTGGAATATACAGCACCAGTTTGGAACCCACACCTAGCCAAGCATGTAAGGAAACTAGAGAAAGAGGCAAAGGTTTGCAACAAGACTAGTCCCGGAGCTAAGGGGTAAGTCCTACGAGGAAAGGTTAAGGGAAATCGACCTGACAAAACACTGGAAGACAGGAGAGATAGGGGGGATATGAGAACAACATATGAAATACTGAGAGGAATTGACAAGGTGGACAGAGACAGGATGTTTCAGAGATGGGACACAGCAACGAGGGGTCACAGTTGGAAGCTGAAGACTCAGATGAATCACAGAGATCTTAGAAAGTATTTCTTCAGTCACAAAGTTGTCAGAAAGTGGAACAGCCTGGGAAGTGATGTAGTGGAGGCAGGATCGATGCATAGCTTTAAGAAGAGGTATGCTAAAGCTCCTGGGGCGGCAAAAGTGACCAAGTAGTGGCCAGTGAAGAGGTGGGGCCAGGAGCTGTGACTCGACCCCTGTAACCACAACTAGGTGAGCACAAATAGGCGAGTACACACCCCACCACACACACAGTGAAGAGGCAGGGCCAGGAGCTATGTCTCGACCCCTACAACCACACACCCACACATGGAACAAGATTATAAACGACAACCAGCACGGATTCATGGAAGGCAAATCCTGTGTCACAAACCTTCTGAAGTTTTATGACAAAGTTACAGAAGTAAGACATGAGAGAGAGGGGTGGGTTGATTGCATTTTCTTGGACTGCAAGAAGGTTTTCGACACAGTTCCTCACAAGAGATTAGTGCAGAAACTAGAGAATCAGGTGCGTATAACAGGAGGGGCATTGCAATGGATCAGAGAATACCTGACAGGGAGGTAACAACAAGTCATGGTACGGGATGAGGTATCACAGTGGGCACCTGTGACAAGCGGGTCGATCCTAGGACAAGTGCAATTTTTGGTATATGTGAATGACATGATGGAAGGGATAGACTCAGAGGTGTCCCTGTTCGCAGATGATGTGAAGTCAATGAGGAGAATTAAATCAGATGAGGATCAGGCAGGGCTTCAAAGAGACCTGGACAGGCTGAACACGTGGTCCAGCAACTGGCTTCTTGAATTCAACCCTGCCAAATGCAAAGTCATGAAGATCAGAGAAGGGCAAAGAAGACCGCAGACAGAACATAGGTTAGGTGGCCAAAGACTGCAAACCTCGCTCAAAGAGAAAGATCTTGGGGTGACCATAACACCAAGCATGTCTCCGGAGGCACACATCAACCAGATAACTGCTGCAGCATATGGGTGCCTGGCAAACCTGAGAATAGCGTTCCGATACCTTAGTAAGGAATCGTTCAAGACACTGTACACTGTGTACATCAGGCCCATACTGGGGTATGCAGCACCAGTTTGGAACCCACACCTGGTCAAGCACATCAAGAAATTAGAGAAAGTGCAAAGGTTTGCAACAAGGCTAGTTCCAGAGCTCAGAGATATGTCCTACAAAGAAAGGTTGAAGGAAATCAGACCGACGACATTGGAGGACAGGGGGGTCAGCGGAGACATGATAACGACATACAAAATACTACATGGAACAGATAAGGTGGACAGAGACAGGTTGTCCCAGAAAGGGGACACAGAAACAAGGGGTCACAATTGGAAGCTGAAGACTCAGATGAGTCAGAGGGATGTTAGGAAGTATTTCTTCAGTCATAGAGTCGTCAGGAAGTGGAATAGCCTAGCAAGTGATGTAGTGGAGGCAAGAACCATACATAGCTTTAAGATGAGGTATGACAAAGCTCAGGAAGCAGAGAGAGAGAGGACCTAGTAGTGATCAGTGAAGAGGCAGGGCCAGGAGCTGAGTCTCGACCCCTGCAACCACAATTAGGTGAGTACAACACCAAACACACCTGTATAGCTTGTTAATAGCAAATTATCAATTCAAAGGACAGGTAGAGGCAGTGGATGGTTGTTGCTGATGACTGTGACTCACGATTGCAAACAAACCATACCACTGATTTTTGTCACGAACCTATATTCAGAGTGTTTTAAATGGAGGTCCCTCAAGTCAATGGTTTACTGTAAGAGACATCTTTATATTAGGGTCAACAATAAAGGAAGCAGACAGCTGGCACATGAAAAATGTTTATAGTAGAGAGAGACTTTATTATTTGAGGTCAAATTCACAGTGGGACTTGATTAACCTAAATCCCACAGTGGGGTTATATTTGCCTGGACCCCACAATGGGGCTTTATCAAGTGGGTGAAACCTCATATAATAAAGCTTCTTGCTGCACAGGCTTTGTATTTGCTGGATGGTGAACAAATGCCACCATCTGTGAGGGAACACCATGAAGCACAACCTCTGCTTGTTAGACCTGTTTCCAGTGTGCCGGTGATCTTCTTCAAGCTGGCAGTGTTAAACCCACAGATGACATTGTTAAAAATTGCAGTGGTTGTTGTTAAACCCGCAGCTGACGTTAAAACCCACAGCTGATGGTGTTAAACCCACAGCTGAGGCCCCATGACCGTTGGTATACGGCGCTCGCTGTCGGTGTGCAACTCCCGCCGCTCCTCACTTAGCGATGCCTACAAATCCAGTTTGTTCCCTTAAGTGTCGTGTACAAGACAGTTTATGTGATACCCACCACCGAGCCGGGGTTAATATTTCATACGGAGGCACTAGGCTATGCTAGGCTAGAATATGTTAGTTTATGACTATGCCACATCAGCGTAAGTGATGCTGTGTTACAAGCAATCCCATTAAGTACTGATGGAGTATATAATGTCTGTTGATGTTCATACCAAGGAATTTCACTGGGGTTACTACTAGCCACAACACCAGCAGTGAGGCTACCAGTAGTGTCTCAGTTACCAAAAACCCCACTAACAACCCCACAATTAATGTGTATAACTGTTGCTCCACACCAGCAGAGCAACAGTTATACACACCACTGAGACACCACCCCAACCACTGCCACCAGACAGTACAGTGTTGTCTTAACACATCCACTCAAAGTAAAGATGATCTGTACCGTACTCTTGGAAGACTTCTCATCCATCTCCTCGATTACATAAGCCTCCCTCCTCATGCATAATAAAACAGAACCACCTGTTTCACATAGCATGTATTAGTAGGACTTTCACATAGATTACACAAATATTACTACTAATAATAAAGCATACTAATAAAGCACTGAAGCTTAATAAACTAAAAAATTACGTAATACTTACCCTTACAACTCCTTAATAAAGAAAGCAATAATCTATACATATAACTAGAGCATAATACAGTTAACAGCTACAATATACAAGCATTATACATGCAGTTATATATACACGAGGTTCAATAAAATACATGAGAGACTTTTGAACTCGGTTAATAAGGTTTATGAGACTACAGGAGGCCCTCCACATTTCCAAGGGTTAGGGGACCAAGAACCATGCAAATGTTGAAAATTCATGAATGTCTGTTGCACAAATATAATGTAGGGAAATATAATAATACTGTACTGTAGCGTTCGCAAATGTTTTCAGGCACAAATATATTGTAGGGAAATACAATAATAGCATTTACTTAGCCTAACAATACTGCTTCCTTAACCTATTGAACCACGAACAATCATAAAACACATGAAAACAAAACATAAAACACATGAAAACTTGTGAAATCCGGGTGGCTGGGCATTCGTGAATGTTCGAAGCTCACAAAAGTGGAACTCACGAATGTGGAGGGCCTCCTGCATTTGGCATTTCAATTTTTTTTTTTTTTTGAAAGATGATTGTTGAAAGTTGAAATTTAAAAAAAAAAAATTACTAATGAAATATTAAAAGTGGAATTTATTTCCTTTTAAAATTGGTGTTCAAAATCCACATTCAAAACTTGCTTGAAAGACTGGTAAAAGAGGATACTAAAAACTTATTAAATATGAATAATGAAAGCTGACATCAAAATTGTTTGAAAAATTACTGACAGATGACTGTGTATGTGTGTGTATGTATTTAAATAAACACTTCAAAAGTGATGAGTGCTGGTTCAAAAGTGCCTGGAAGCAGTGAAGAGTGCCACACTGGGGTCACAGTGCCACACAGTGAGGAAAAACAGTGTCATGACTGGTGCATTAAGGTCTACTAGCAACTGCTCGATGTAGAGTGGACACTCATGCAATAAAGAAACAACCACAGAGAGATTTATACATATATATATATAATATATATATATATATATATATATATATATATATATATATATATATATATATATAATATATATATATATATATATATATATATATAATATATATATATTATATATTTTATTTATTTTTATTATCACACTGGCCGATTCCCACCAAGGCAGGGTGGCCCGAAAAAGAAAAACTTCACCATCATTCACTCCATCACTGTCTTGCCAGAAGGGTGCTTTACACTACAGTTTTTAAACTGCAACATTAGACACCCCTCCTTCAGAGTGCAGGCACTGTACTTCCCATCTCCAGGACTCAAGTCCGGCCTGCCGGTTTCCCTGAACCCCTTCATAAATGTTACTTTGTTCACACTCCAACAGCATGTAAAGTATTAAAAACCATTCGTCTCCATTCACTCCTATCAAACACGCTAACACACGCCTGCTGGAAGTCCAAGCCCCTCGCACACAAAACCTCCTTTACCCCCTCCCTCCAACCTTTCCTAGGCCGACCCCTATCCCGCCTTCCTTCCACTACAGACTGATACACTCTTGAAGTCATTCTGTTTCGCTCCATTCTCTCTACATGTCCGAACCACCTCAACAACCCTTCCTCAGCCCTCTGGACAACAGTTTTGGTAATCCCGCACCTCCTCCTAACTTCCAAACTACGAATTCTCTGCATTATATTCACACCACACATTGCCCTCAGACATGACATCTCCACTGCCTCCAGCCTTCTCCTCGCTGCAACATTCATCATCCATGCTTCACACCCATATAAGAGTGTTGATAAAACTATACTCTCATACATTCCCCTCTTTGCCTCCAAGGACAAAGTTCTTTGTCTCCACAGACTCCTAAGTGCACCACTCACCCTTTTCCCCTCATCAATTCTATGACCCATTCTATGACCCATCCGCTGACACGTCCACTCCCAAATATCTGAATACATTCACCTCCTCCATACTCTCTCCCTCCAATCTGATATCCAATCTTTCATCACCTAATATTTTTGTTATCCTCATAACCTTACTCTTTCCTGTATTCACTTTTAATTTTCTTCTCTTGCACACCCTACCAAATTCATCCACCAATCTCTGCAACTTCTCTTCAGAATCTCCCAAGAGCACAGTGTCATCAGCAAAGAGCAACTGTGACAACTCCCACTTTATGTGTGATTCTTTATCTTTTAACTCCACGCCTCTTGTCAAGACCCTCGCATTTACTTCTTTACAACCCCATCTATAAATATATTAAACAACCACGGTGACATCACACATCCTTGTCTAAGGCCTACTTTTACTGGGAAAAAATTTCCCTCTTTCCTACATACTCTAACTTGAGCCTCACTATCCTCATAAAAACTCTTCACTGCTTTCAGTAACCTACCTCCTACACCATACACCTGCAACATCTGCCACATTGCCCCCCTATCCACCCTGTCATACGCCTTTTCCAAATCCATAAATGCCACAAGACCTCTTTAGCCTTATCTAAATACTGTTCACTTATATGTTTCACTGTAAACACCTGGTCCACACACCCCCTACCTTTCCTAAAGCCTCCTTGTTCACTTGCTATCCTATTCTCCGTCTTACTTTTAATTCTTTCAATAATAACTCTACCATACACTTTACCAGGTATACTCAACAGACTTATCCCCCTATAATTTTTGCACTCTCTTTTGTCCCCTTTACCTTTATACAAAGGAACTATGCATGCTCTCTGCATATATATATATATATATATACTACCGTCCTGCCAGATGACTGTGAAACAAAAACCTGTAACTGTTTTGCATGATGGTAGGATTGCTGGTTTCTTTTTCTGTCTCATAAACACGCTAAGATAACGGGATATCTTGCTACTCCTACTTACACTTTGGTCACACTTCACAGACCCCACATGCATATATTATATATACATACATCTAGGTTTTTCTCCTTTTTCTAAATAGCTCTTGTTCTTTTTTATTTCTTCTATTGTCCATGGGGAAGTGGAAAAGAATCTTTCCTCCGTAAGCCATGCGTGTCGTATGAGGCGACTAAATGCCGGGAGCAATGGGCTAGTAACCCCTTCTCCTGTATACAATTACTAAAAAAGAGAAGAAGAAAAACTTTATAAAACTGGGTTGCTTAAAGTGCGTGGATGTAGTGCGGATGACAAGAAACAGATGATTGCTGATGTTATGAATGAAAAGAAGTTGGATGTCCTGGCCCTAAGCGAAACAAAGCTGAAGGGGTAGGAGAGTTTCAGTGGGGGGAAATAAATGGGATTAAATCTGGAGTATCTGAGAGAGTTAGAGCAAAGGAAGGGGTAGCAGTAATGTTAAATGATCAGTTATGGAAGGAGAAAAGAGAATATGAATGTGTAAATTCAAGAATTATGTGGATTAAATTAAAGGTTGGATGCGAGAAGTGGGTCATAATAAGCGTGTATGCACCTGGAGAAGAGAGGAATGCAGAGGAGAGAGAGAGATTTTGGAGATGTTAAGTGAATGTATAGGAGCCTTTGAACCAAGTGAGAGAGTAATTGTGGTAGGGGACTTGAATGCTAAAGTAGGAGAAACTTTTAGAGAGGGTGTGGTAGGTAAGTTTGGGGTGCCAGGTGTAAATGATAATGGGAGCCCTTTGATTGAACTTGTATAGAAAAGGGGTTTAGTTATAGGTAATACATATTTTAAGAAAAAGAGGATAAATAAGTATACACGATATGATGTAGGGCGAAATGACAGTAGTTTGTTGGATTATGTATTGGTAGATAAAAGACTGTTGAGTAGACTCAGGATGTACATGTTATAGAGGGGCCACAGATATATCAGATCACTTTCTAGTTGTAGCTACACTGAGAGTAAAAGGTAGATGGATACAAGGAGAATAGAAGCATCAGGGAAGAGAGAGGTGAAGGTTTTATAAACTAAAAGAGGAGGCAGTTAGGGTAAGATATAAACAGCTATTGGAGGATAGATGGGCTAATGAGAGCATAGGCAATGGGGTCGAAGAGGTATGGGGTAGGTTTAAAAATGTAGTGTTAGAGTGTTCAGCAGAAGTTTGTGGTTACAGGAAAGTGGGTGCAGGAGGGAAGAGGAGCGATTGGTGGAATGATGATGTAAAGAGAGTAGTAAGGGAGAAAAAGTTAGCATATGAGAAGTTTTTACAAAGTAGAAGTGATGCAAGGAGGGAAGAGTATATGGAGAAAAAGAGAGAGGTTAAGAGAGTGGTGAAGCAATGTAAAAAGAGAGCAAATGAGAGAGTGGGTTGAGATGTTATCACAAATTTTGTTGAAAATAAGAAAAAGTTTTGGAGTGAGATTAACAAGTTGAGAAAGCCTAGAGAACAAATTGATTTGTCAGTTAAAAATAGGAGAGGAGAGTTATTAAATGAGAGTTAGAGGTATTGGG